TTGGTCAGTAGTAGTCCAAATTCAATACGAACGTTTGTTTCTTGAAAATTTGATCACCATTTAAATACAGTATTTACTTTTAATATTACCGATATGTTATCGAAAAGAAAACGTGTTTTATTATCATTAAAAGACAAATTAAAGTATTTATTTCGATTATCCGGATTTTTCCTTATCCGGACTACCTTCATCCCCAATTAATCCGGATAATGGAGGTTCTACTGTACTTGATAAATTTAGTTATGTATTCTGAAAGAAAAATAAGGCATACATTTACCACTATTCTGAATTTGATTATTAACATTTAGTCAAAAATTTNTAAAGAAATGACGACATTAAGGTTGTATTTAATAAACTGGAACACTCAAAATCGAGCAACACCAGAGAATTTTCATGCCTCGATTCTCATCACGCGACACCACACTGTGGGCCTAAAATGAGGTCCTCTGAGTACTCAAAAGGGGAAAAAATTAAAAAATTATAGATATATTTAATTGAATTAAATGCCTGTGTCAACATATAATCATAATTTATACATTTCAAAATATGTAATTAATTAAGAAAATGAGAATAGCACGATATTATATTAGCTTTTTTGGATTTAATTATATTTTTACACATCAAGATATTCGTCCCTGACTGAAGTGCAGTGATGGCATGCGAATTCACGTTAGATTATTAAGGAGCGCTAAATTAAAGCTATTCGTCACTCTGCACAAACGGTGAATTCTACCTTTATTCTAAACCTTCCTTAATATTTGGCTTCGTGTTAACTACTTACTTCATAAGACATACAGAATGGGTAAAAAGTAACTAGGCATTAAGCAATCGCCATAATTTTTGAGATAATAAATCAATCGTAATAAAATTTAGGTATGTACGTACATCAGCCAATGAAATTATATAATTTTTGCGTCAGTGGATTAGAGAATGAGCGAGAGAGGTCGCACGTGCAATGGCAAGAAAGATGGACGACCATTCCTGTTTGGGAGCCAGCGCAGATTGCTGCACGCTATGAGGTGTGGAAATCGGTGGTTGCCGTGCGATGACGATGACGTGCGGTGATGGATGTCATGCGGATACAATCGAGAATTGTCATTAGAAGCTAATGACCAAAGGTTCGGTCGCGTACGCATAAAGAAGCGACCGTTCATCCACATCACGATCTTCGGGCGTTTGAGGAAGTTGGGGATGGTAATAATGCCTATATTAAATTTTAAAGGCACGCGTCCGTATTTCCATTTAATAATGTAAAATTTGAATAATTTAATCGTATTTGCTTCGGAAATATAGAAATTATAGCGATTTATCAATGCCTAGTTACTTTCAACCCATTCTGTATATTGAATGTCCGTTTAGATACTGTATTTATACTTATTCCAACAAATCAGAAAATATCATTTTATTTTTACATAACTGTACATTATATTACAATAACTACAATATGACGTAAATATCGAGATATAAAGGTAAAAATATTTGAATATGTTCACCAAGTTGCATATAAAACCATCGGTTGATAATTATGAACATTCCTCCATTAAATTTCAGAAAAAATCTGTAAATGTAGATTTGAAATAATAATTTTTTTTTGTTATTAACCAATCACTTAGTGTTTTTACTGTGAAAATCAATTCTTTAACATCGGAAATCATTCTTTAATCATCCTATAACAATAATGTAGCATAAAATATTCCTGGTTTATTGATTTTTCTGGTTATCTGCAGCATCTTCCTCGATAAAAGACTGTACTATAATCACTGGTATTAATCCCTGTGTTCTGACCGAATTACTTTTACTCTCTTTATTATTTAAATTCATTTGGATCTCCTCGGTTTCTTCTTTAGATTGGGCCAAATTTCCCGAAGACGGTTGATTAATTGTTACGGGTGTCATCAACACATTCTTAGGTCTGTTTACGTTTGCATCCGAGTCAAAACCTCTATGGTTTTTTATATTCGAATCCTTACCTAAATTCCTCTCGTTAACTTGAGATGGAAGGAATTGGTTTCTCCCTGCATTACGAAAATTTTCGGAAATTTTAGAATTATCCGACTGTACTTGTATTCTTCCATTGACTCTGATGATCCCTCGAGGTGCGTAACTTTCGGTTAGGAGCTTCTCTCCATTTATGTTATCGTTTGAAAAAGGTGCTTTTGTGTTAGAGAAGTGGTGAGGTTTCGGTGGTTCCTCTCTGTTGTTAGGTAAATAGGCATTTGAATTTTCGTAGGGTTTAACTTTTATTTTATTCGACCGCTCCTCTGTACTGTACACCAAACTGCATCGGTTTCCAATTGTTATCTCTAGGATGACTTTCGGGAATGTATCTTTGAGCGTAACCTATTACTCTTTCTTCAGAAACAATAAATTTAGAATTTTCTTCGGGTTTTACAGGACTCTGTTGACTAGCCGAATTTCCTAAATTAACGGGTTGAATGTTAGTGTTTTGATTTCCTTGTACTGGAAGGTTTAACGGTCGTTGTTGAACTTGGATATTTTTTCTTACAAGAAACCCTTCGTTTCCGTTATATTTATTGAATTTTACGTTTATATTTTTATCTTGAATTATAAAAGGAGGTGATTTATTTCTGTTATTGTCATTAGAATGACCACTTTCGTCAAAATATCTTCCTTGATTATTGGTGTTCTGTCTTAAGTTTGTAATGGCGGTTTCTTCTCTACTTCCGCCATTTTGGAAATTATTTAGGGATTCTTTTCCCGAAATCGGAATTCTTAGATAACCATCGGCGATTGGTTTTTTTCTTTCGTCGATATTAACGTTAAAATTTTCGGTCGGTTTAATGATAGGAGCAGGAAGAAAACCTCTTTCGGGAATGTTTCTAGGTGGATAGTTGTTAAGTCTTCCTCCTATGTTTCTGTTATTTGCATTCTGATTTCCTTGTCTAAAGTTTCTTGGGTGATATTGGAAGTTTTGTTCTTGTTCTTGAATATTTCGGTTAAAATTTTGATAAAAAGTTCCAGGTTTTCTTTCGGCCGCTTGTACAGGTTCGGGATTATTAAATATATCTTGTTGTTCTGTTAAAATATGAACAATGGCCGGTTCTCTAGTATTTATATTATACTTTTGTTCGTTTCTAAATCCCGTTTGAATCACCGGTTGAGCAAATCCTGCATTTAAATTGTCAAATTGTGGTGAGTTTTGTTTTTGTACACCTCTTTCAAATGTTTTCGTATCGTCTACTTGAAAGTTTTCTTGGTTTGCTCCTCTGTAAATATTTCCCGACTGCACGAATACTCTGTAATTATCGTTATTATCAGGAAGATTCTTAATTTCTTCGTTTTCACTATTTGGAGAGGAAGTATTTGAATTTAGAAAGGTTTCTCCGTCTTGAAAATCATTTTGGTTCGATGTTCCTTCGTTTAATCTTTCGTCATATTCTTCACTCGTGTTACTTCTTCCTTTGTATATGATTTCTGCTTTTCCATCACCCGCTTTAAGCGATACAAACGGCAATAAAACTATTTTGACTTGTCCTTTCGATGGTTTCGATAACTTCCAGATTTGTAGAGAAGGAGTTACCAAGAAACCGAATAACAGAAAGATCGTTATAATCTAAAAAAAATAAATTATATCATTAATAAATATTAAAATAAAACTTGGATAAATTTAAAACTAAGGGATGAAATAACTAAAGGAAGTATTGTTATTATAGTTGAAACTCCACCTCTAAAGCGACCATATTTCCGGAACCAATTTTGAATTTCATACAAAATAACCTTCAAACAACAACCATTTTTTAATTCTCGTCAGTGGTTGTTCTTGGGAGGTTTGACCGTTTTATCACAAAATATCAAAAATAACGTCTTATTCTTAAAATCTCTTTTGAAACTTTTTCAAAAATTACTGTACAAATGGATATATTTTCATATTTAACTTTTTCTTCTTTCAGTTCTGTTCAGATAAAATATCGAAAAAGCTTACTACGTACAGAAATATTACAGAATTCTGTATCTTCTGTAGGGTTAAATACATTTTCTACACATTATTTTTCTATAAAATATCTCTTTCAGAAAAAAAACTACAGTACTCGATTTGCTTTCTTTTAATTACTTAACAAATTTGTGTTGTCTTCTACAATATTTTTTATATTATAGAAGACATATAATTTATGTATTTTTATATTATATAATTTAATTATATTATATAATATAATTTATATATTAAAGACATAAAAACTAAATGATTTACCCACAACCTTATAGTGGAAAAATACGTGTATACTTACCGTCTTCATGTCGTTCTATCGTTAAAGACACGAAGCGCGCATTATCTTTTCTTTTATACGATTTCTCTAAGAGTTATGCAAAGTAGCGGGTCAAAGGTCAATTACAATTATAGATCCGAACGAAACCTTACCGACAACAAAAGCTCAACGTCCTTAAAATGAAATTGGGTCAAAAAAAGGCAAGTGACCTAAAGTTTTCCACGCTTTTCTCTCCCCATTTTACTTTTGAACTTCGGCTTTTTATTTTAATGTCGACGTTCTCCCCTCTTTCCTTTCATCTCCTTCACGATTAATCGTTTAATTACGTTTAATTAATTAACATTTACATAATTGTATTTAAATTTTTTAAACTTTCGTGCGATAAAATACTTTAAGTTTACGCAGGTAATAATAGTATTTGTACTTTCAAATAAAAATTTTCCTGTAAAGTGCACTCTTGAACTATACAATTTACTCCATTATTACAATTTTAAGACGTACTAAAAATAGCTCGGAGCTTCTCTTCGAAGATCAAATTAAACTTTAAATAACCGGTTTAAAATCTTAACAAAGTAATTTAGAAAATAGAAAACATTTAGGCCAAGAATCAGAACATTCTACTATAGAAAAAAGTATTTAATTTTAATCACGTCTGATGAGAAAATTTCTCCAATCTTTAACCTTAAACGTCGGGTCTTTGACAAAAGAAAGGAAATAGAAGCTTACGCTTTCGTGATTCTTATTCACATTTAACACTTTCTCGATTTTTGTTTACAATATTTAGAGTTTTGAACAGGAAAATTAAATATATCTCTCTCTATAAATAAATCTACGAGTGAATAAAACGAGATGAATAAAAAATCGCAAGCGTTAACGATCAACCGCCATACACGAAGAGTGAACTACATTACAATTTCCAACGCATCTTTAATAGGTTAATCATGTAATTTTTTAAATTTTACAGTAAAAAAAAACTAATTAAACTCTTCGTAAAGGTCTTTAATATAGATGATTTATTGTAATTATTTTCATTTATTTTAATTTAAATTTATTGATACACATTACGCATTACTCGCGCGGGTTTGAAGTAATATAAACAGAACTTCGACGACTGTTAAATCTGATAAATTCTATATAAAATAATTTAATAAATGACAGAGTTTCTGTACTATTTTCTGTATATCTCTGGTATGTTCTAGTGCAGGGGTCACCAACCTTTCAGCGGTGTAGTGTCGAATCTCATTTATAGTGTTATTCTGAGTGCCGGCATGATTCTACTAATTTTGTTATATATATATATTATCGAAATTGGTCCAGTTATAATTGGCTTCAAAACTATATAATTGTCAAGGCAAGTGGTTAATTGAATTATCTACTTACATATGAGGCAAATGCACAACACGTAGATGGAACGTAAACTCGTGCGCTATAATGTAAATAAACAAGCAAAAGATTCGAATTTTTAATGTACCACGGCCTATACTAGACTACGGTTTCTATTTAACTGTGTAATTAATAATTAAAATATAATTTTTACTACATTTCTATTCACTCAGAGTGCCATTGAAAATCGTTTCGCGTGTCATAGGTTGTCGACCCCTGTTGTAGTGTATCTCCGAGGTGTGGCATGAAAGCCAATCGCACTTTCTCACATAGGCGATACTTTCAACTTAAAATACACCTTTAAAGAATATATAGGAAGAAGATAAATGTTAATGAATTTAAAACTAATAAACAAATTTAAACAGAAATTTTTAATCATATTGTTAATTTATTTAATTTAAAATGTATGCTCGCTACCTCAAATTAGTAATGTCTTGCCCCCGTAATCATAATTTTCCTGTTAACAAATCGGATATAAATTATTACCATTAATCGGATTTATCTCAAAATATAAGTAGCTCGACAGATTCTATATAAGCTGCACGCTATAATAAATGATTATAATAATTATATCGCGTGTAAATAATAATAACAATAACGATGTGTTTTATAATAATAAAGGTCACGAGAAGTTTTCATTTATGTCAGGATCTTCACCCCGACCGATGTGATCTACGAGCCTGGGTCAGATTTTGCCACGGTGGCAACGTCGTCAGTATATTTCCTCTACTGCCAGAGGATAAATGAAAACGAAATATGGGGCTAAGAAATAAATGGGGAGGAAATAAATTACGAGATAATTAAGTGTTTAAATACTTGAAAATAATATAAGAACGATTTTTCTTCATTTAATTCGGATGAAGTTGAATTGCTTTCAACACTTTGCTCTGTTATTCGTCTATTCGTTATCCTTCCCTTCAACTTCTGTTTTTGTAATAATTTCTGTTATTATTTTTATTGCTTTTCTTGCCCTTCTTTCCGGATGGTCCGAGGGATTTTTAGGAGACCACCGGTAGCCGAGTGGATAAAACCACTGAACACTGGTCGTGGGTTCGCGCCCGGCCAACGGGCTGGCCACGTGGAGTTTTCTGTGTTTCCTTCAATGCAGAAGTCCCTTGTAAACAGGGCCGTGCCGTTCTATGATGCAGAGAGGCGGTCGCATCAGGCGGCACCGTAAAGGGACGGCATAAAAAACATTTAAGGGGCAGAATTTCAAAGACTTGCATCATACTGAGAAAATCTATCACACGATCCTGTCAGCAGAGTTGGAATCTCGAAGTGGAAGGAACTTTTATCCACTTTCTCTTTTATCCACGAGTTCTCTGCATCATAGCACGGCACGGCCCTGTCTGCTGAACATTTCTTTTGAGACTATAGCAAAGAACTCGGATATTTATGGTCGGAAGCAGTGCCGTAACTAGCTATTCTTGTGCCCTGTGCAAGAATTTGCAATTAGGCCCCTTAATTAATTAGGTTTGGGAAAATAATAAAACAGAAGATACATGCATTTTGGGCTCTCCTTCCAAGTAGGCCCTGTGCGGGTGCACCTGTTGCACCTGCCTAGTTACGGCATTGGTCGGAAGCATCCCGACCTACCTGAGGAGCCTTTCATTTTAATAAGATATTAAATATTCAATTAATTATTTTTTTTATCGATATTCTAAAAAACTTTTGAAGGGTGAAATGGAGCGATGACAATGTTCTCCGAGGAAAAGACAAAAGTCACACCTCTAAGAGAGGAAAAGGAAGAAGAATCAAAGTGGCGCACAGAAAATGTTTGAGAACCCCTGATTAAATAACATTTGTGATGAAGCACTTCTTCAATGAAGTGTCCTTGTGCTAAAATATTGCAATGAATTTTTCACATTTTCATTATCATTCCACGTACAGAATTTGATGACTTTTGCAGCAAAGTTCATATAATTGCAATTTAGACAAAAAAGAAAAAAATATTATCAACTTATTTCAAATTATAAAACGTAACCGAGTATGGAACTCGAAAATGTCTGGCTAGTTTTTAACGTTTAATTAAATAGATACTCCCTAATGGAACTTTGATTGAGATTTTAGTGTTTTGTGTAGATACATTTATTTAAAATCCATTAAGATAAGGCACCAAAGATTTATTTGTAGCATTGAAGAGAAATCAAAATGTTATTTCAGTTCGAAATGCTTGAGCATTAACAAAATGTAGTGAATAAAATTGCATTGCCATAGTTAACCTTAGGATGATGGAATTGTTGGATGAAATACTCAACCAGTAGCGTGTTATAGTTATAACTAACCAGTAGCGTGTTATAGTTATAACACGCCACTGGTTTGAATTAGGAGACCCCATGTAATGTTGATTTCAGACATTTCTTCGGTTTTGGTTTTATTCGATTAAGGCAACCCGCTATATGGGCCTTCTATAGGAGAGGGAATGCCTTCTTATTTAGGCGTCACTAACGTGAAGAAAACCTAAACAACTTAACGTAGACAGTCCGCTGATGAGACGCGAACCCACTATCAAATGCCACTGTTCAGTGGTTTTATTCATTCGGCCACTGGTAAGTTTCTTTGGGGGAAATATTTTCTTATAAACGATCACTTCGTGTCTCGTTTGTTTCCAGACAATTGCCTCTTTTGTCTCTATGGGTATTTTCTACAGCTCCGATAAGCTCCCAACCGTCTACTTCAGAGCTTGAATTGAACTACAATAACATCTCTTTATTGTTTATTCTAATAGCGATTATTTGTCATCGCGTCCCAGCGATCACATTCCGCTGTTTCTGATTTTTTGTTTTCAAATTTTCAATAATAACTATATATTCATGTGTTTTTATATTGGGTTCATGGCTTATGGAAAACCAAGGCCAATATAAATCATTTCGTCGATTCAATGAACAACAACCCATATGGCCTCTATCAAACTGGACCAGATAAGCAATTCAACTGCAAACTTCCTGGACATCAATCTGTAATTAGATGGCAACCGGATAGCAACTAAAGTCCATTACAAGTCATGCTACTCCCCATTATTCATGCTGGCCATTTCAACGGACCCCTTCTCATACAAGATGGCTGCCTTCCGGGCCTTAACCAAAAGAACATTCACGCACCATTCCAGATTTGAAGACATTTTGTCTGAATTACAGCGCATCCAGAACATAGCCACCCAACACG